GACAAAAACCGCCATGAAAGGTTAAATTCCCATGATTCCCTGTGGTTGCTTAATGGATTTCTATGATATAAACAGACCTTTGGCTTTGCCTGCTGGGCAGGCGACCCCCAACTAAATGAGTTTAGACAGGATTTCCTAATAAGAAATGTGCCTGGTGCCCACATTCCACTAAGAGTCTGCAGAGACCTGCGCTTCTCCAGACAGACAGGTACTAGTCTCTGTGGACACGTGTGCTGTGCACTCAAGGCAGGAGGTTACATGGATGGTCTGTGAATGTGTGTGTGTGTGTGTATGAGAGAGAGAGACAGAGATAGAGGCAGAGAGACAGAAGACAGAGACAGAGGCAAAGACACACATATACAGAGAGAGAGAGCGAATCTGTGCACACTCATGTGCATAAATGTGGGCGTGTGCATACAGCGTCAATCTCAAGTGTTGGCCTTGGCCTTTCTTATGTGGCTTCCTTATGTTTCTGGTGAGCTAGCCAACTCCGAAGCATCTGGGGATTCCCTTGTTTCTGTCTACCATCTCCCCATGGGAGCTCTGCAATTACAGACACTCATGCTAGCACACCTGGTTTTGCTGGGTTCTGGAGATTTGAACTTAGGTACTCACACTTGCATTGCAAACTCTTTTGCCCACGGATCCAACTCCCCAAAGCCCAGCCTCTATTAATTTAACCAACTTTACCAACGTGACTTTTCAGTAGCTGCCTATAATCATGGGAACAAGATCTATCTTTTATGGCCAAGGTGCTCAGAGGAGGGTGTGTCTAGAATTTTCTGGAGAAGTCGGGGGATGCAAGAAGACCCGAGACCCAATATATTGAATGTCCCTGATTTCCTCACTTGAAAAGCAGAATTCACAGTCCTATTTGCCTCACAATGACAACATAAAATTGAAGTGTACTCATCTCCCAGGAATGGCACAATAATGTCATCCACTCAGGTTAGCATCCATCCTGTTTCTAAACATGACCCAGTGGACAGGAAGGACAAAATAAAGTTGACTGTATAACATTAGCTAGAACAAGTTTCTTTTTTGGGTCCTAGCGTAGGTGGGATGTTAAATGGCCAACCCTGGATTAGTGACTGCATGTTGCTGAGAAAAGAGAAGAATTCTGTGCCAGGGCTTGCAGGTGAGACTGGGGAACTCCAGTCTAGGAGATGAACGCATACAATAGTAGAAAAGTCCCAGGGAGATAAGAAGGATGCAAGATATCCTTAGGTTACACAGGACAGACAATGCAATACCTGAGACCCCCGGCCTGGGCATCCCTTGACCTCTCTATGTTTTGAAATATATTTTAAGAGGGATAACAATTTCCTCCTTCCTGCCATCCCTCGCCACCCACACACATGCTGTAATGATGAGAAGTCACAAGATCAATACAATTCACTTTGCTGGAACTCACTATGGAGTGAGTTTGCCAGGAAGTGACTCCATGAAGAGCCAGAGCCATTCCCTTGACAGGCAAGCACAGTCTATTCTAGAGGCTCCGGTGGGGAGGAGATCTGAATGTCAGGGCCATTCTGGGTTCCAACAGACCCTCAGAGATGGGAATGTTCTATTTCTTTCCTGTTGCAATCTGATGCCACCAGCTCTGTGTGGCAAGTGCTGTGTAAATGAATGAGGGAAGAATTGTGCTCTTTAATTTAAATCAGAACAGCCATGTGTGACCAGTGGCAGCCACATGGATGACACAGATTGGCATGGGGGAGGGAACGGGGGATGCTATGATTACATGACTAGCTGGAAGTTATGGCATCTTCACCAGACTGTCCTAAACTTCTTCCCTATTGACCAGACCTCAGGCAAGGCATCCAAGCTCAAGCTACTTCTCCATCATCCTTCTTCCTTCTAGACATCGCCAAATGTCTATCCAGAGGTTAGAGAGTATTACTGGCTCCCCCATCTCCCCGAAGAACCAATCTATTCTCTACGCTTTGGAAAGTCTGTGTGCGTGTGCATGTGCATGTGCATGTGCATGTGCGTGCATGCCCATGCGTTGCTGGGAATTGAACCCAGAGCCTTGCACATGCTAGGCAAGTGCTCTACCACTGAGCTATTCACTCAGGTTTCTAATCTTGGGATACCTTTCTGGAGCAGAGCAGAGCTGCAAGACTTAACGTGTGCATTGGGCTGTTTTGTGCTCCTTGGGCTGAGTAAACTAGGCAATGGTGGCTTATTACAGTGCCTCTGCTTTTCCCTTCTGAAGGAATTGGAGGCCTGGCCTGGCTGGGCCTGGCTGGGCCTTGCTGGGCCTGGCTGGGCCTGTGGAATCTATTCATCTGCTTTTTAAGCCAGGCTCTGTAAATTCATTCAGGAGATGGGGGATAGAGGGGGAGGGAAGTAACAGGGCCTGAGAACAAAAGGCATTGGGCAGTTTGCTGTTTGTGGCCAGGCTTCTGGAGGGAGGCAAGATGGAGGCAGGCTAAGAGGGCTGGTCTGTGGTGGGGTTGACCAATGCAGAAGGAAACTCGGGCCTTTCCTTGCTGCCTCTCCCATGCACCCCGGAAGCCCTGCTCAGCCCCAAGTCTGGAAGCCTCCATCTGGGTAGGTCAGTTCTTATCTCTCTTCAGTGGGCTCTGTGGGAAGAGAGGCCAGAACAGCAGGAGTCAAAGAGGGAAAAAAACCTGGCAGCACAGAACCTCTTTCCTGGAATTTCCTTCTGCCCCAGCCTCCATCCTCCTTGTCACAAGCATGTGGGCTCCTCTGGTCCCCAGGAGAGCAACCAGACAGCTGAGCCACCACCCTGTCCAGCTCCAGAATTAAAAGGGCCCTAGCATTTGGCTCCAGTGGGCAATTTACATACAATTTGCATATATCTGCATACTCCCCGCCAGAGGCCTCAGTCAAAGAATGTGAAATGAAACAAAATAAATTAGTACAGTTTACCATAGCCCCACACAGAGGGCCTGGTACCCAACAGAGACATAGCCAGTTCTTTAAGCAGTCAGGGTATGGGGCAGGTTAGGGGCAGAAGGAAGGTGGAAGCCTCCTTCCAGGCTGGACACTCATGAGGAACTGTGCCTCCGGCACAGGTAGTCACAGGAGCACCTCCATACATGAGCTCAGCCTGGCCTGGTGTTGTCCCTCCTCTGGAAGCTGTCTCTTTGGGAGGACTGTCATCTCCTCTGACATGTTGACTGCTGGGGGGTGGGGGTATGGAAGGCTATGGGGCCTCTGGACTCTTCCCAGCTCCAACTCTACCCCCTCTTCCACCCCAGGAATCGTTCCTACCAGTTCCTAAGGCCTTTCTTCTCTCCTCCCTCTGATTCCACTCCAGGATGAGGGAGGGTGACATGTGACCCCCCTCAGTCAGCCAGTAGCTGGGGTTAATCTCTCTTGGTTCCTCGATGGATGTAACAGCCTGTGACAACCAAGCAGCCCCCACAGCCTGTGACACCACAGGGGGTAATATGATCCATAGCTAGGCTCTTGCTGGCCTTGACTATGTCTGGGCCGGTTGGTCTCCCTCTCCTAGGACTGGGGACCATGGATTCAAGTATTCTGCTCACACTTGTAGGGCGAGGGTGGAAGGCACCAGAGCTGGTTCCAAGCAGAAGGGGCTATGATGCTGAGGTGGAGGACAGGCTTGGGGACAAAGGAGCATGGGCAGAGCCAACAACTGTCATCAGTAACTGTAAACCGAAGACCAGAAATTCAAGAAGGCACAGAGCAAGAGATGGACGGAGGTGGTGGAGAGCGGCTCCTGGGTGGAGCACTGAGGTACTCTTCTTCCTCTTATTCCATCACCCCATTACCAGGTCCTGTGGGTGGATACCAGGCAGATAGCTAAGGATGCCCCTGAACTTCTGGTCCTCCTGCCTCCATCTCACAGTCCTGGGGTGACAGGTGTGCCCTGCACCAGGTTTTGTACAGCGCCGGAGCTCAAAACAAGGGCTCCATATATGCCAGGTAAGCACCCTGCCCACTGAGCCACATGCCCACTCTCACACACTGGTCTCCAACAGGTATATTTAACTACGGTGCAGGAGCCCACTCCACATGCATTCTATTTCCACAAGACCCCTGAGCAAAGCACAGTTTAACTTTTCATAACTGTTAGAAAACAAAAAAAGGGAGGGATTTTTGTGACACAGGAAAACGATGCAAAATTCAGCTTGCTGGTTTCCATGCACAGCATCAAGTTTGGGGATGTGGTGTGCCCTCTCATTCACACATTGTCCCCAAACAATGGAGGAGCTGTGACTCACTCTCTATGGTGGGCAGAAAGGAACACATTTGCAATCTTGGCCTTTACCAGGAAATGATGCCTGCCCCTGGCTTAGATTCCGCTGACCCTTCTCGGGATCCCAGCCCCTGCTCCTTTAGGGGATACCAGGCTGGGGTACCCCATTCAGACCCACAGAGACTCATTGCATCCATGGCTAGAATGACCTCTTGTGCTCAAGACCCAAAGCTGTTCTTCCCTCTGTCATCACTGGCAAACTGGGCACCTGGGCAACACCTGCCCATCTCGAGCCACTTCCCTCCTCAGGTCTGGATAGCTGGTGCCAGGTGCCAGGCTGGGTCTCACACAGAAAGTTGAAGTGGTGGGAAATCTCTGAAATGCATTGTGCTTTTTTATTGTTTAAGACAGATTCTCACTATGTAGCTCAGGCTTGCCCTAAAACCAGCAAGCAATCCTGCTTCAGCCTCCGGAATGCTGAGCTATACATCACCACATTTGGCTGAAAGGGAGTTCTAAGGACAAGAAGTCTTCCTGTCCTCTCTCCCATGCCAAAACCATGGCCAAAGCATCCTGCTTAGGACCACACCAGTATTGGCTACACACTGATCCCAGGGCCTGTGAACTTCTCAGTAACCTCTACTGAGGTACTCATGAGTTCCTGGGGTTATCAGAAGCACGGAGGAATCCAAAGAAAGAGAACAGAGGGCAGCTTAGGGATGGCCAGAGCTGAAGCGGCAACCTTGCCTGTGGACTCTGTCATGGTCCTAGGACACAGAGACAGCCAGGCGGAGCAGCCACTTACCCGGTACCACACAATCTCGCGCATGCGGCCGTCTGTCTTGAAGTTACACTTCAGGGTCACTGCATCCCCAGCCACCACAGGAGGAAGGGGCTCAATGTTGACTGTCAAGTAGCCTGTGGAGGGAAGGGAAGAGGGGGTGAGACAGGTAAGCATAGTGGGTGGCTTAGAAACCCGGAACCCCCACCGACACTATGCTCCACCGCCAAACTCCAAATGGTGCAGTAGGCAGACCACACCCTCCTGGCAACCCTTAGCAACTCCCTTTCAGTGGCCAAACACATCCAGCCTATCCAGCCTGAACTGATTTTAGATGCTTGTGGTAAAGGCGACTATGGTAGGGTGAACTTTGAAGAAAACACCCTCTGTATCATCTTATGCCTATGCATGATTGGCCATGCTTATGATTAAATCATATGCATTATAGGAAAGGATATTCATGTGAATGAAGACTTCCGTAGTCCAAGCCTGTAAATCAAAACAGAAACTACTCTCACCCTACCCGAACACTCAGCTCCCTCATTTTCCTGGACCCTCAGAAGGAGAAGGGGCGGCTTCCTCTGGAATGACTCCCTCACAGCCCTGCTCTCTTGGCCTTCCTATTTTGCTATTTATATGCAATTCTTCATTTCTTTGAGTAAGACACCAAGAACCTAACAATACCCAGTTGGGACAGTGGCCATCATCCAAACCAGGAAGGCGAGGGCAGATGCTGACAGGAGGGCTGGATCTCCTGTGTGGAGGTCTCTGCTCACTCTTTAGCCTACAGGAAGGGTGACAGAGTTGATCTCATGCCCTCTCCCTCTCACTGGCATGTCCTTTCTGTCACCTCCTTGGCTCCCAGAGATCCTCCTTACTGAAGAGTTTCCCCACAGATAGTCCTTCCATATACAAGACTCAGAGGGCCGACAAGATGGTTCAGTGGGTAAAAGCGCTCATTGTGCAAGCCTGACAGCCCAAGTTCAATCCCCAGAATCCACAACTGAAAGAGAGAACAGACTCCTGAAAGCTGTTCTCTGACCTCCACACACACCAAAGGATACACACACACACACACACACACACACACACACACACACACACACACACACACACAGGTTGACACGCAAATCTCAACTCTCACCTCAAATGGGATAAGAGACAATTTATTTGAGGCCAAATTTGGGTGACCATGGCCTGTGAACACAGATTTAGGTTACCCTAAATCCTATGTTCCAACACAGAAGCAGTTTCATGAAGTTTTTATAGTAACAAGATAAAGAAGAGTCATGAACAAGGCATTTTTCAAATACGCTGGTGGAGACATCAGAGGGGGCTTACAACAAAGGGGGGAAACTCTGCCGGGGGCAGATGCCCTCTGGCAGTTGTCTTAGCCTTTTGGTTGGGGGAAGCTGGTGGTCCACTTAGTTAATGCATTTCCAAGAGGTTTCACAGGCTGCTAGGTCAGGCGAGAATAAGTGAGGGCTAGACACCCCGGGAAATTGTAACCAGGCTTTGGACCGCAGCACCCCAACCTCTACACCTCATGGAAGGTTTCATTTCTTTCTGGAATCCTTTGTTTAGACAAATAAGGAACATCTAAGACCTTCTAAGACCAAAGGAAAACGCTGAGATCCAACTCTGGGCTCGGAGTAGTGACATGCCTGATTGATGATTGACTGTAGCTCTAGTTACTGTAACAGAACACATGGAGGACGCAGCGTAAGGGAGGAAGAGCTCATTTTGGCTCCCGGACTGAGGCAGAATTGTCCTGGGGCAGGGTGCGGCCATGCTGGAGTCCACTGAGGTGACAGTTTACAGCTGCGGCCTTTCTATGGCATTGGCCAGGAGGCAGAGGACTCCAGCTGGAAGTGGGATGGTGCTGTATCCTTGAAGGGTTTCCCTTCCAGCCACCCATTTCATCCAGTCAGGTCCTATCTCCCAAAGGTTCCACAAACACCCCTAAAACAGCAACGCCCACTGGGGGCCAGTGTCAAACATGAACCTGCATATGATAACATAGTAATAGGCTTCTAAGGCCCGAAGAAGAGGAAACACACTTACCCCGGTTTCTCCAAACCACTTGCCTGGGAGGCCTCTTCTCTGACCCCACACAGGGTCCCTGAGGCACCCTGGGATCTGATCCACCCAACTCCTGTTCCAGCTTCAGAGCCACTTACTCCCAAGAAAAGGCCCTGGGATGCTACCACTGGCTCCTTTAACACACAGCAATTGCACCCCACATGATGCTTGGTTATGGGGGAACCCACTACAAGCTGACCCATTGGGGAGGAGTTTTGGATATCCACAAGTGCTTGCATGGGGATGCTACTGCTGCCACACCACCATGCAGTCTTCCCTGAGACCTCTGGTCCATTCCTCTGCCTCCCCACCTCCACCTCAGAGGGCCATGTGCCCACTCCAGCTCGGTGGGGACTTCATTCTGGGGCTGACCACTCAGGCTCATTTGATGGGCTTCCCACTGCTGATGTCCGCCTATTGATTGACTAGATCAATCTAGTCCAATTGCCTTAATGAGAAAAGCAGCCAGGATGGGCTGGGATTTCAATTGTGCAGGCAACCTGAGCGGATCGAGCCCCAGGGGCCTGACCCCTGCATGTAGCTTAATGGGCCCAACACTCTGAGAGGCAAAAACAAGATCGGACCTCAGAGATCAATGTGGAAGTAGGAATCGAATCAGACCTGCATGGCTACCGCTCCAGAGCTGGGGTTGAAGGCAGGGGCTCACTATGGGACTCTCTCTAATGTAAGCTGAAGTCAGGTTCATGGAGAGCCCCTGAGGTCATGGGTCTAAGAAAGTAGCCTTCATACCACTGCAAGGCCAGTCTTCGGATTGTCTTACAACAGTGGCTTCCATGTGCCCTGAACAAGACCTGGGCCAGAATCTGAGAAACAGGGTGGCACAGAGGGGCTCATGCCCTCTGAAATATACAGAGTAGGAAAAGAGACATCACCATGTGCTCGCCACTCAGGATCATATTGAGGTTGGGGGTGGCTATGACAGGGAACGGGGAAGCTGGGTACATCTTACATAAAACGGGCCCCAAATTTTACGCCAACAAGGAGCAAGAACTTCGAGGAACTGGAATGCTCACAGGTAAGCCAAACCTGTATGACAGGGTAAAATGGTGTGTACAAGGCACTAGCTTAATGTGTCCCACACACCCAGCATGGCAATTCTCAAGAAGAGCTAGCCCCTCCTGGACACCAAGTTCTCAACACATAGGAGATTTATTACCTAGGAGGGACAAGCAAGTGAGTGGGCTGCCTATGAACAGGACAAAGGCAGTTGACAGGTATTTTTTGCAGCAGTGGGTTTTTAAGGAGTAAAGAGGGACGTTTGTGTTGGAATGAGTTGGTAAGTCCTGATTAGACAGGCTACCCAGCATAGCCAAATAATGAGTTTTGACTGCTGGACCTTAGTGTTTTGATAGTTGAATCTTGGTGATCAGTTTCAGGAATGAGTCAGTGTCCAAATAAGGGAATAGATTTCAAGGGCTAGCTTTAGGAATGTAATCTAACTGTTTAGCAAAGGAGAGTGAAGGGGAAATTTCAGGCAAAGCCAGTAGGCACCATATTTGTCATGCTCAGGCCTGTTAGAGAGCCCTTCAGTCCTAGATAGGCTTTCTATGGCTGTGATGGAACACCACGGCCAAAAGCAAGTTGGGGAGGAAAGGGTTTATTTGGCTCACACTTCCAGACCATCGCCCATCATAGGAAGAAGTCAGGACAGGAACCTGAGCAGGGCAGGAACCTGGAGGCAGGATCTGATACAGGGGCCATAGAGGGGTGCTGCATACTGGCTTGCTCACATGGCTTACTTCGCCTGCTTTCTTATAGAACCCAGGACCACTAGCCCAGGAATGCCCCCACCCACAATGGGTTTGGGCCTCCCCCATCAGTCACTAATTAAGAAAATGCCTTCCAGCTGGATCTTATGGAGGCGTTTCCTCAGGCGAGCATCCCTTCTTTCGGGTGACTCTAGCTTGTGTTGACATAAACTAGTCAGCACATATATTAACTGTCAGGCTCACACGGGACATCTGAGACTCACATTCAATTCCTCTCCACTCATAGCATGTCCCACCTCATCATGTCACAGCCTCTCCAGGGACAGCAGGGGTGAAAGAAGGTGCAAGCAAACTCATGTGACCCTGCAACCTGCGCTCTTTTGTCTGGAATTCCAGGGAGTGGGGGTATAATTGAGGGAATCACACAGCAGCCCAGTTATCAATTCTGCCAGACATGGCTTGATCCTTGATCACCCAGCCCCTTTTCTAGGTTTTCCCACTTTTGAAGTGTAGACTGGAAATGAGCACCCAGGCCAGGTAGGTGATGGGCTCACAACCAGATGGGAGGAGGAAAGGCCCGAGTTCTTGCATGAGTGAGTTCATGGAGCAGGGGTAGTTAGTTGGCCAGGGCAATGGAGGACTACTGTTTGCTGCTGAGACAGGAAAGAGTCTGATGGGATGGTCATGGAGTTTGTGACAGTTGGAAGTGATCGTTAACTTGACAGAATCTAGAGATGGGCCTCTGGGTGTCTGTGGGGATTTATCTTAATTATGTTAATTGAGACGGGAAGACCCATCCATTGTGGGTGGCACCATTCCCTAGGCAGGGAATGCTGGGCTGTAGAAGAGTAGAACAATCTAGCTAAGTGTTATCATGTATGTAGTCATTGCTCTCTTCTAACCAGGGATCAATGTGACCAGTTGCTACAAGTTCCTGCTGCCTTGGCTTCCCCACCCTGATGCCTTGAACAGGGAGCTGAAATAAGTAAGGCCCCTTTCCCTTAAGCTCTTTGGATGGCATGTTTTATGTTTTGTGACACACAGCAGCAGGATAAGAAACTAAGACAGGCCATCTCGGTGACAGCGGCATCTCTCTTCACCATGGAGCTGATGTTCTAGCCGACAAAGCCATCATTGATTATCAATGGAAATACATCAGAAGGTGATGAGTGTGAGGAGGAAGGATCTGTCAGGGCATTGCCATGGAGAGGAATGGGGGAGGAGCCTTCAGAACAGGACTTCCCAGCAAGCTTCTCCTGAGAAAGCTGAAATAATGGAATACACGAGCCGAGCAGGGATCTAAGGGAGAGCACGGGAGACAGGAC